CACCAGATCTTCAATAAAAGTAAGTGTCATGTAAGTGTGCATGCCTTTTTCAGTTTGTGTGTATTAAAATTAATATTTCATGTGGTAAAAAAATTTTTTTTTCATACTTTTGGGTGTCTTGCACGGATTAATTTTATTTCCATTATTTCTTATGGGGAAAATTCATTCACATAACGATTATTTCGCATAACAATTACCCCTCTTGCACGGATTAAAATCGTTAACCGGGGGTCCACTGTATTCTAAAGCTAAAAAATAGCACCTGAATTATTTTAACAAATGTAAATATATGAACTAAGGTAGTTCTTTAAAGCTAAAATAAGGGAGACAATATAAAAGAGACTAAAGTAAGTTGTGGTGAACAAATAAAGTGGTGATCAAATAAAGGAGCTAGGGAATACAATAGTAAAATAATGAACGTACAGGTCTCCCTCAACATTCGTGTTTTCAACTTTCGCGGGCTTCACACATACGCGAATTCCCAACCACCAAATTCCCAGCCTCCAAATTCCCGGCCACCAAATCATATTTAAGTTTCCTGCCACCTGCGAGTCCCTACTACCCTCCCTCCGACCCCCGCAACTGGCAGCCAGCCCTTCCACCAGTGTGGTGAGTGTTTTGTTTGTTCATTATTTGCTCTTAAACTGCAATATAAATAATGTAAACCCATTCATGACTGCATATTGGAATGGCTATTCAGACAGGTATTGGACGGTGACATCATGTGTTTACTCTTGAACACAGCAAAGAATCAAACATTTCTGCTACTGCTAACAATAACAATAGTAGTAAAAAAAAAATAATAATAATAATAATAAATATGATAGAATTGAAGAAGTAAATTGTACAACAATAGGAGGGAGTGGTTGACACATCATCAGTGTGGCTTTGTTTATGCTGGAGTGAGCATTAGACTCCGTGCTCTTCCAAACATTTCACAATAATTAATTGTGTTTGGTGCTTGTAGATTGAGTGCAACTGGAGTGGTAGAGGCAGTGGTTGAGGCAGTGGTTGAGGCAGTGGTTGAGGCAGTGGTTGAGGCAGTGGGCGAGGCAGTGGGTGAGGCAGTGGCATTTAATAACATAAATGTTATTAATAATAATAATAATAATAATAATAATACATGTTATTAATAATATGTATTATTATTATTTATAACATGTTATTAAATACCACTGCCTCAACTGCTGCCTCTACCATTGCCTCAAATGCTGCCTCAACTGCTGCCTCACCCACTGCCTCAATCACTGCCTCAACCACTGCCTCAACCACTGCCTCAACCATTGCCACAACCATTGCCTCACCCACTGCCTCAACCATTGCCTCAACTGCTGCCTCACCCACTGCCTCACCCACTGCCTCACCCACTGCCTCAACCACTGCCTCAACCACTGCCTCTACGACTCCAGTCGCACTCAATCTACAAGCACCAAACACAATGAATTATTGTGAAATGTTTGGAAGAGCACGGAGACTAATGCTCACTCCAGCATAAACAAAGCCACACTGACGATGTATAAGAACATAAGAACATAAGAAAGGAGGAACACTGCAGGAGGCCTGCTGGCCCATACTAGGCAGGTCCTTTATAATTCATCCCACTAACAAAACATTTGCCCAACCCAATTTTCAATGCCACCCAAGAAATAAGCTCTGATGTGAAAGTCCCACTCAAATCCAACCCCTCCCACTCATGTACTTATCCAACCTAGATTTGAAACTACCCAAAGTCCCAGCCTCAATAACCCAACTAGGTAGACTGTTCCACTCATCAACTACCCTATTTCCAAACCAATACTTTCCTATGTCCTTTCTAAATCTAAACTTATCTAATTTAAATCCATTACTGCGGGTTCTCTCTTGGAGAGACATCCTCAAGACCTTATTAATATCCCCTTTATTAATACCTATCTTCCACTTATACACTTCGATCAGGTCTCCCCTCATTCTTCGTCTAACAAGTGAATGTAACTTAAGAGTCTTCAATCTTTCTTCATAAGGAAGATTTCTAATGCTATGTATTAATTTAGTCATCCTACGCTGAATGTTTTCTAACGAATTTATGTCCATTTTGTAATACGGAGACCAGAACTGAGCTGCATAATCTAGGTGAGGCCTTACTAATGATGTATAAAGCTGCAGTATGACCTCTGGACTTCTGTTGCTTACACTTCTTGATATAAATCCCAGTAATCTATTTGCCTTATTACGTACGCTTAGGCATTGCTGTCTTGGTTTAAGGTTGCTGCTCACCATAACTCCCAAGTCCTTTTCGCAATCTGTATGGCTAAGTTCTACATCATTTAACTTATAAGTACTAGGGTTATGGGCACTCCCAAGCTTCAGAACCTTGCATTTATCTACATTGAACTGCATCTGCCACTTTTCTGACCAAGAATAGAGTTTGTTTAAATCCTCCTGAAGTTCCATAACATCTACGTTTGAATCAATTATCCTACCTATCTTTGTGTCATTGGCGAATTTGCTCATATCACTAGTAATTCCCTCATCAAGATCATTGATATATATTATAAACAACAACGGGCCAAAGACTGATCCCTGTGGAATGCCACTTGTTACAGATCCCCACTCAGATTTAACCCCATTTATGGACACACTCTGCTTCCTGTCAGTGAGCCATGACTCGATCCACGAGAGCACTTTTCCCCCAATGCCATGAGCTGCCACTTTCTTTAACAGTCTATGGTGCGGAACTCTATCAAAAGCCTTACTAAAATCTAAGTAAATAATATCAAATTCTTTATTGTGGTCAACAGCCTCAAAAGCTTTACTGAAGAAAGTTAATAAATTAGTTAGACAAGACCGGCCTCTTAAATCACACCCTCCTATTTTTGTACAATTTCCTTCTTCAATTCTATCGTATTTATTATTATAATAATATTATTATTATTCTTTCTTTCAACACACTGGCCGTATCCCACAAAGGCAGGGTGGCCCAAAACGAAAAACGAAAGTTTCTCTTAAATTTAGTAATTTATACGGGAGAAGGGGTTACTAGCCCTTTGCTCCCGGCATTTTAGTCGCCTCTTACAACATGCATGGCTTATGGAGGAAGAATTCTGTTCCACTTCCCCATGGAGATATTATTATTATTACTACTACTACTACTATTGTTATTATTAGCAGTAGCAGAAATGTTTGATTCTTTGCTGTGTTCAAGAGTAAACACATGATGTCACCGTCCAATACCTGTCCGAATAGCCATTCCAATATGCAGTCATGAATGGGTTTACATTATTTATACTGTAGTTTAATAGCAAATAATGAACAAACAAAACACTCACCACACTTGTGGGAGGGCTGGCTGCCAGTTGCGGGGGTCGGAGGGAGGGTAGTAGGGACTCGCAGTGGTCGAGGAAGTGGAGGCAGTGGTGGAGGCAGTGGTATTTAATAACATACATGTTATTAAACCATAACATGTATGTATTTAGTACAATTTATGATGTTTTCATGTATTTTATGAATGTTCATGGTTCAACAAGTTAACCCTTTGACTGTTTACGCCGTATAAATACGTCTTACTCGCCACTGTTTCTGACGTGTATATACTCAATAATTCTAGCGGCTTCAAATCAAGTGGGAGAAAGCTGGTAGGCCCACATGTGAGAGAATGGGTCTGTGTGGTCAGTGTGCACCACAAAAAAAATCCTGCATCACACAGTGCGTAATGAGAAAAAAAAACTCCGATCGTTTTTTTTGGATTAAAATGCCGACTTTGAGGTGTATTTTCGTATAGTATTTATCGTTGTATTCGCGTTTTCATGGTCTTAGGTGATAAAATGGAAAACATATTACAGAAATAGAGATGATTTTCATTACTTTGACAATGAAAACGACCTTGAAACTGAGCTCAAAGTAGCAGAAATGTTCGATTTTTACCAATGTTCAGGAGTAAACAAATCACACCACACATCCAATACACGTCAACTGGGGAGTCTAATATTCTTTCACTAGTGCACTAATATTATTTATACCATTTTTACAATAATGCAGTAGTCTGCATAACAGTAAATTTAGTATTTTTTTGTATGAATAAAAAATCAAAATAGAAAGCAATAATAATATAAGATGGGCCTAGAGATGTGACTAATGAACAGAGGATATGTTATTTTTGTGCCAAGAATGTCTACCTTGTTTATTCTGGACCCTATTTTGAAATTGGCATCTTTTTTAATTTGCGTGAAATTGGCCAAATTGCCAATTTCTGACCACCATATTGGGTAGTCCAAATTGGTAAATGGGCGGTTTCTTGTACTCAGCTGATAGATAAAATGGAGTTCTAAAGAAATAGCTATGAGTTTGGTTAACTGGAACAACGGAATTGGCTGAAAACAGGGCTCAAAGTCGGCGAAATCGCCGATACGCATGTCGCCAAGACCGCTAACTTCGCGGGAGCGTAATTCCGTGAGTTTTCGACCAAATTTCGAACTTTTGGTGTCATTACCATCGGGAAAAGATTCTCTATCATTTCATAAGAAAAAATAATTTTTTTTTTTTTCAAAAATTTATCAACATAGAATGACAGTTTCAGAAAGGGGCCTGAAACAGTCAAAGGGTTATGGAAGAAGTATTGTATTATATTTCCATACAATATATTGGGGCACCAAACATTCGCGATTTTTCAACATTCGCGAGGCTCTTGATCCCCTAACCCTCGCGAATGTTTAGGGAGACCTGTATTACACTTTAGCACCTGAGAATAGCACCTTGATTATTTTAACAATTGTGAATATATGAACTAAGGTAGTTATTTAAAGCAAAAATAAAGGAGAAAATATATAAGGGACTAAACTAAGTAATGGTAAACAAAGTTAAATGGACAGATAGTCACTATGATATAATATTGATTTATGAGTAAGATCTGAATTGTAATATATAACAAGTTGAGCAACTAATTGCACTATAAAAAGTAAAAAAAAAAATGAGGTAGTACTGTGTGTGAAGTTTCCACTGCAGGCAAAAAACACTAGAACACATACATGCGCTTTCTCTCGGCAATTTCTTGACCCATTTGAATACGTTTTCTTTCACGTTCTCTTGCTTCATTTTCTTCTTCTAGTTCTCTTTCCTTTCTTCGCTGCCTTATTTTTTCCTCCAATTCCCTCTTCTGCAAGTGAAAAAAAACTGAATTTTTTAAAACAATATTTTTACAATTTATTAATAATTTGTTAATATTCAGATGTGAGTTTTTCTAATAAATACAGAAAAAAAAATATCTTTAAACTCTTAAATTATACACTAGAGATCAACCTGACAACCCAACTGAAAGTTGTTTTACTTATGAAATCCATTATTATAATTATTATTATTATTATTATTATTATTAAAAGCAAAAAATAAAAGCTGATAAATGAGACACTTGTGCAACATTAGGGAATTGTTATTCTGGAAACATTTCACCAGCCAGTGGCTTCTTCAGTCCAGTGCAGAGAAAGGTGGAAGATCAGGAGTAGTTTGAGGTAATCAGTTCCTCAGCCTAGAGTTGATGTGTCCAGTCCATCAATCTTGACAAGAGAACAGCATATTCATAGAGATGGAGCTTATATACTAATGACTGATAAGGTGGAGCATTAGTGGAAGTAGGTTGTGTCTAAAGGTTAGACAAGTTTGGAGACATCCCTGAATCAAGATCCCAAGTTGTTGCTCGTCTGTCATCAGTATACAGTGGTACTCCGAGTTTCAAACTTTCTTCATTCCAGAAGACTATTTAAGTGCCATTACCAGATGAAACTGTTCCTATAAGGAATAACATAAATTAGATTAGTCCGTTTCAGATCCCCAAAAATACACTTACAACAGCACTGACAATAATACACTTACAAAACTGGTCGAGTTGGGAGCAGTTCAAAATTCGGGGTACCACTGTATAAGCCCCATCTCCACAAATATGCTGTACTCTTGTCAAGATTGATGGACTGAACACATCGACTCTAGGCTGAGAAACTGATTACCTCAAACTCCTCCTGATCTTCCACCTTTCTCTGCACTGAACTGAAGAAGCCACTGGCTGGTGAAATGTTTCTAGAATAAAGATTCCCAAATGTTACACAAGTGTCTCATTTATTAGCTTATCAGTTTTCTAAACCATTTAAACACAAAAAATAAAAAATCATGCCACATCCCCACTGTATATTGTATTATAGTGTACGATACAACAGTAAAAAATGTAGCATACTCAAAATAAGTAATATACACACCATCATTCATTCAATAGCTCTATTGCCAGAAATGTGCAGACATCATAATTCAAATGACCATGCATCATGAGACTGAGCTCATGGCAACCGACAGTGGCTTCAAAGCCACCTTATCTTTAATGGATAATGTACTGTGTAGGTGCTTTACATAATGAGAAGCATTTCTTTTATTCATTGGAACCATGGCTAGGGCTAAAAGTAAGCAGGTTATAACAATAAATGGAGAAAAAGAAATTGGAATGACTTATGCAGCAAGTAGCGCCACCAAAAAGTGCCAGCAGGTTGGTGTGGCGACCCTGGAAATTTGAAATTATACTAACCAAAATTAGTGCCAAATAACTGAAGGAACCGAATAACTGATTGCCGGATTTGTGATGGCGGACCTGTATAACATTGCGTTGCACCATCTTCCATTTTACATGAGGGAGATTAAAATCTCCAAGGTGTAAAATATTTGGTGTGGGATTTCCTAGCCTATACATATATAGCTATCTACCTTAGCTGATCTGTGAATTCCTCAGCAGTTGCTGATGGTGGTTTGTATACTAGGATCATTACCAAATTCCTATTTTCAACTTTAATGCCTAGGATTTCTACTACAGCGGTCCCTCGTTTTTCGTAATTAATCCATTCCCAGAGGAGCTACTATAAACGAAATTTACGATTTGCGAATCAATTTTCCCCATAAGAAATAATGTAAATACAATTAATCCGTTCCTGACACCCAGAAGTATTATAACAAAAAATTTTTTTTACATGAAATATACATGTAGTACATAAACAATACAATAGGAAATGATGAATGAAACATTAACAGCATAACACTTACCTTTATTGGAGATTCTTCTTAGTGTATGGGAGACTGGAGGAGGAGAGAGATTGGATTGTTTACAGTTTGGAAGGGGAATCCCCTTCCAGCAACACCTCAGGTACCAATTGCTTCTCTGGGGTTGCTTCTCTTCTCTGTTTCTTAATGCCACTAGGACCACCTTGAGAGTCACTCTAGTCCTGTCTCGCAAAGTAACTGTGGAGAGAGCTCTGTTTCTGGCGTCTCTTTAACACTTCCCTAAAATAGCCAAAGATTTTGTCACTGTACATATTTCTCACCTTCTTTACCACAGGCTTGGCACTAGGAGCTTTCTTTGGAGCCATGGTAGCTTATTTAGTGCTTGCAAGCACTAAAATGAGTGGAATATTATGAAATATTTCGTAGGAGCACTTGAGGGGACCTTCACTCACTGGTAAACAATGCCAGACTGGCTGGGTAGGGAGGCCTCCCCGGCTCACACCGTGCGTACGCGTCCCGGATAAACTACTATTCGCGAGTCAACCTATGAAAAGCAAGTCCATGTTTATATGAAAATACACCTATGATTGGCGAAATTTACGATTGCCGAGAACTACGAAAAGCGAGGGACCACTGTATATCATTTAGAGTTCAGCAATTATGTGCAACAGAAAGTATCCTTTACATAGACTCCTACTCCTCCCTGTGACCTATTAATTCTATCACATCTATACATGTTATAGTTTACTATCTTTCTCTCTCCATTCAAAACATCCCTTTTATGCGTTTCTGTAAATGCTCCAAACATGACATCTGCTTCTGTTAGGAGCCAACTGACATAACTAACTGTCATTTTTATTTGAATTCAAACCCTGAATATTTGCAAATATGAAGCAGGAATTACCATTTGAGATGTTTTGTCTTGCTTTGTGCTTCGTTAGTACCACAGGTTGTGTACTACATGGTCTTGGATGTGCTGGAGGACAAACAGAATGCAGACGTAGTATACACAGATTGTGCAAAAGCCTATGACAAATGCAATCATGGTGTAATAGTACACAAAATACACACTAAAGGGATAACTGGCAAAGTGGGCAGATGGATCTTCAACTTTCTAACCAAATGAACAAAGAATCATATTAAGCTGAGTTAAGTCAGAGGATGCCATAGTAAAAACCTCTCTTCCACAAGGTCCAGTACTCTCTCTAATCCTGCTCCTCATCCTCATATCAGACAGACAGAGATGTAAACTATAACACTATGCCTTCCTCTGAAGATGATACTAGAATCTGCATGAGAGACAGTACATCTCCCAGAAGATGCAAACCAAATTTTCCAATGGGCAACAGAAAACAATATGATGTTCAACAAGGACAAATTTCAATTTCTCCATTATAGAAACTGGAAATAATAGCTAGAACAGAGAATATAACAAACTAACCACCCAACAGAGTAGAATAGTAGTTTGAAGGACTTGGGAGTGTTAATGTTAGAGGATCTCACCTTCAAGGATCACTACAGTGCTACTATCACATCTGCAAGGAAAATTATTAGATAGGTAATGAGAATCTTCAAAGCAAAGGATGCAATGCCAATAATCATCCTTTTTAAATTATTTGTTCTCTCTAGGCTGGAATACTGCTGTACACTAACAGCTCTATGCAGGTGAAATTTCAAATCTAGAGAATGTTTAAAGAACCTTCACAGCACATACAAGTTCAGTCAAACACCTAAATTACTGGGGATGTTTGGAGTCACTTGACCAGTATTCAATGAAGTGCAGGCAAGATACAACATAATTTAAATCTGGAAAATCATAGAGGGACTGGTTTCAAGTTTGGACACACAAATCACTCCCTACGAAAACAAAAGCCTGGGAAGAGGGTGTAACATACCCCTAATAATAATAATAATAATAATAATAATAATAATAATAATAATAATAATAACAATAATAATTAATAATAACAATAATAATAATACAGTGGACCCCCACCTAACGATATTAATCCGTTCCTGAGAGCTCATCGTAAGCTGAAATTATCATTAACCGAATTAATTTTCCCCATAAGAAATAATGGAAATCAAATTAATCCGTTCCTGTCACCAGAAAGCATGAAAATTTTTTTTTTTTACCACATGAAACATTAATTTTAATACACATGAACTGAAGAAGACATGCACAATTACTACTCTACTAAAAATAGAATACATGACTCTTGCCTTTATTGAAGATCTGGTGATGACTGATGGGATGAGAGGAGGGGAGAGTGTGGAAGTTATTGCATTGAATTTTTGTAAAGGTTTAGTCGAACACGGGGAATGTCATAGAGATGTTTGTGTCTGGTGTTATGCCTGTGGATCCTGTCACAACTATCAAAAAAGCATTTTAGGTCAAGGTTAACAATGGAATTTAAGGTCCTGTAGATATATATTGCACAGTAGTAAGTGTGGATGTTCTGAACAGGGAGTAAGTTTAGATCTATGAAGAGTGGGGGGTGTGTTGCCAGGGATGGGATTTAGTGATTATTCTTACTGCGGCTTTTTGTTGGGTTATTATTGGCTTTAGGTGTGTTGCTGCAGTTGAACCCAAAGCACAGATAGCATAGGTGTGAGAAGGGCAGTTTGTGGCACGTAGTATCGTATCTTGGAGAGGATCCCCACCGTTTTGGATACTTTTTTTGTTATGTGTTGGATATGGGTGCTGAAATTTAGGTTGTTGTCGAGGTATAGGCCAAGGAATTTGCCCTCATTATGTCTGGCAATTTTAGTGTTGTCAATCTTAATGTTAAGTTGCACAACATCTGCTCTGCTACCAAACATAATATACTAGTAGGTTTTGCCAGTGTTAAGTGTAAGTTTATTGGCTGTCATCCAAGTCGATATTTTGAGCAGCTCCTCGTTAACAATGGTGCTGAGGGTGGCAAAATTAGGATGGGAGATGACATAAGTCATGTCATCAGCAAAGAGTATGGGTTTTCGGTGTTGGGATATGTTTAGAAGATCACTGATGTAAATGAGGAAGAGCAGGGGTCCAAGGACACTTCCCTGCGGAACTCCAGTATCAAGTGACTCGAGAAATCGTAATGACACGATTGCAAACAAACCATACCCCCGGCGATGGGCTGGAGTTTTGAGACTATGACCGCGGGTTCAATCCCGGCCGGGGGTATGGTTTGTTTGCAATCGTGTCATTACGATTTCTTGAGTCATGTTGACGGCAGTGAAGGGACTTGAGCTAGAGTTCGTCACGGCCACGCTAGCTGGAGATTCGTCTGTAAAAACTTGCATTTGTGGTCACAGTGGTGCCTGTGCTAACCTTCCTATGGTGTAGAAATATACCTAGTTGGATGAATCTTATTGTAACTAGCTGGTCTAGTGGCTAACGCGACGGGCTGGAGTTTTGAGACTATGACCGCGGGTTCAATCCCGGTCGGGGGTATGGTTTGTTTGCAATCGTGTCATTACGATTTCTTGAGTCACGCTTCAAGGATTACATAGACAGTGAAGGACTGAAACCTGAAAAAGTGTTTAATTGCGACGAAACAGGCCTGTTTTGGAAGAAAATGCCAAGCAAGACCTACATTACTCAGGAGGAAAAGGCACTCCCAGGACATAAGCCTATGAAAGACAGGCTTACTCTGTTGATGTGTGCTAATGCTAGTGGTGATTGCAAAGTGAAGCCTTTATTGGTGTATCACTCTGAAACTCCCAGAGTGTTCAGGAAAAACAATGTCCTGAAGGCTAATTTGTGTGTGCTGTGGAGGGCAAACAGTAAGGCATGGGTCACTAGGGACTTTTTCTATGACTGGTTACACCAAGCATTTGCCCCCACTGTGAAAAATTACCTAACTGAAAAGAAATTAGACCTTAAGTGCCTCCTGGTATTAGACAATGTCCCTGGTCATCCTACAGACTTGTCAGAGCGACTTTCTGGGGACATGAGCTTCATTAATGGCAAGTTTTTGCCTCCTAATACCACTCCTCTCCTGCAGCCCATGGACCAGCAGGTCATTTCCAACTTCAAGAAACTGTACACAAAAGCTACGTTTCAAAAGTGCTTTATAGTGACCACAGAAACTCAACTGACTCTAAAAGAGTTTTGGAAGGATCACTTTAATATCCTCAATTGTATAAACCTGATAGGTACGGCTTGGGAGGGAGTGACTAAGAGGACCTTGAACTCTGCTTGGAAAAAACTGTGGCCAGAATGTGTAGACAAAAGGGATTTTGAAGGATTTGAGGCTAACCCTGAGAATCCTATGCCAGTTGAGGAATCCATTGTGGCATTGGGGAAGTCCTTGGGGTTGGAGGTTAGTGGGGAGGATATGGAAGAGTTGGTGGAGGAGGACAGTGAAGAACTAACCACTGATGAGCTGATAGATCATCTTGAACAGCAAGAGGCCAGACCTGAGGAAACTGCTTAGGAGGAGGGGATAGAGAAATTGAAGAAGTTGCCTACTTCAAAGATTAAGGAAATGTGTGCAATATGGCTTAAAGTGCAAACCTTTTTTGATGACAATCACCCTAACACAGCTATTGCAAGTCGTGCTGGTGACTATTACACTAACAATGTTGTGAAACACTTTAGGATGTCATAAAGGAACAGGAGGTACAGGCCACTATGGACAGATATGTTGTGCGACAGAAATCCAGTGACTCTGAAGCTGGTCCTAGTGGCATTAAAAGAAGAAGGGAAGTAACCACAGAAAAGGACTTGCTACCTCAAGTCCTAATGGAAGGGGATTCCCCTTCTAAACACTAACACCTCTCCCCTCCTCCCATCCCATCAGTCATCACCAGATCTTCATTAAAGGTAAGTGTCAATTATTTAATTGTTATTATTCTATTGCATTAAACTTAATATTCTATGTAGTAAAATTTTTTTTTTTTCATACTTTTGGGTGTCTTGCACGGATTAATTTGATTTCCATTATTTCTTATGAGGAAAATTGATTCGGTTTTCGATATTATCGGTATTCAATGAGCTCTCAGGAACGGATTAATATCGAATAACGGGGGTCCACTGTACTATAAAAAAACAAATTACAAGTGGCACCAGACTCACTCTTGTAATTGCACTAAGGTCTAATATAATGAATTTATTGTTGTCTATGTATTGAGCTAGAATGAGCTAAAGTACAACTAGGTATAAACTTGTACTAATATAAAAATATAAATTAAAGACTACAGATATTTTAAGGTAAGTAATGAGTGAACTGTTTATGCATTTTATCACTCTGGGATGCTTAACCCTTTGAGGGTTTTCGTCGTACTAGTACGTCTTACGCGTAGGGGTTTTTGACGTACTAGTACTCATAAATTCTAGCGACCTCAAATCTAGTGGGAGAAAGCTGGTAGGCCTTCATATGAAAGAATGGGTCTATGTGGTCAGTGTGCACAGTCTAAAAAAAATCCTGCAGCACACGGTGCATAATGAGAAAAAAAAAACTTTTTCCATTTTTTTTTAATAAATCAGCGACTTTGCAGTGTATTTTCGTATAGTATTTATTGTTGTATTCTAGTTTTCTTGGTCTCATTTTATAGAATGGAAGACATATTACTGAAATTGAGATGATTTTGACTGGTTTTACAATGAAAGGTGCCTTGAAATTGAGCTCAAAGTAGCAGAAATGTTCGATTTTTACCAAACTTCAAAAGTAAACAAATCGTGCCAAGCGTGCAATACACGTCAACTGGTGAGTCTAATATTCTTTCACAAGTGCACCAATAATATTTATACCATTTTTTACACTAATGCAGTAGTCTGCATAACAGTAAATCTTATATTTTTTGTGAGAATAAAAATTCAAAGTGGAAAGCAAAAGAATATAAGAGGGGCCTTGAGACGTGACTAATGACTAGAGGAAATGTCATTTTAGTGCCAGGAATGTATTTCTTGTTTATTCTGGACCCTATTCCG